GCTACTTTTTAAAAAAAAGTCTGACTGAACTTCCACAGCCGAGAGATAGAGGATGGTGAATTCTCAGTTTAAGAGAAAATCTTGTCTGGATCCTAAATAGCATCCCTCATTTTTAAATTCTAGACTCCCTAACCGGAAGAAACATCTTACCTGCACCTATGCTAAATATTTTTGTGTTTCAATAGATCACCTCATTCTTCAAACCCTTAGAACAGGCCCACTTTGCTGAATCTCTTCATAGGACATCTCATCCCATGAGCAAGACTAGTGGACCTTTGTTGCACTCCCTCTATGATACCTTTCCTCAAACAGGATACCAAAACTAGACTTCCCCAGGATGGCCCCAAGTTTCTGTACAACTGGAGGAAGCTGCAAGATACTTAAATCTTTAAGCAATGACCTCAGCAGTTGCACTGGCAGTGGACAAACTTGGTCCACATCCCAGAGACAATCCCAGGATTGTCAAGTTTTGTCTAGTTGGAATTAAATATGCAGTTTAAAGTACAGGATAAAGAGAGTTGGGAGTTTGTGAATAGCTAATGATCATTTCCACCTGGATAGACAGTCCACGTGATTTATACTACTATAAATTGGGTCCCTGAGGGAAGTATCCAAACCAGATCACTGTAGGATTAACTTTGAAGTTTCCCCAAATATATTGAGCCTCACAGGCACAAAACCAGTTTGCAACAAGATCGAGGCAATGAATCATCATGGTTCACCAGAATGTGGATGAGATCTCACGTGAGTTGACAAGGTTTTAAGTGAACCTGGAAGATTCTCTCATCCATTCTTAGCATGAAAGCTAACTCAGTAATTAAATGTCGTCCATCTAGAAAAGATAAGGAAGCAAGACAGTCTTTGGGGGCTAAGAATCATTTTGGGCTGTTCCAGGAGTTTACGAGTATGTCTGCTTAAGGAACAGAGTTGAAGAATGAAGTTTTCACTTGGTGTTAACTGGGTTCATGTCTTCTGAAGTACAGGTTTCTCCCTCAAGGTGTTTTTCAATCCATGGTTGAAAAAGTCTTTAAGTTTGAAATGTGATCTTATTTTCTTCAGGAAACTTTGAAATTTCTTTTTAAACTGGTCACTTGTCTCTAGGAATTGAAGGAGTTATTACTTTGCAAAATGTTTATATCGTTTGACTTTAAGGAATAAATATCAAAGTGCCTGAAAGTAGTTGCTTTAATATTAATTAATACCTTTCTCCCTGGTCTAAAAAACAAACACTACTGAAATTTGAAAACAGGAACAGTTTAAAAGAAAGTCTGAAGAAAATGCTGGTCCAAACAATTTCAACTGATTCAGGATGTAGACTGTCTGGATTCTGAAGCAGTAAAAAAATGTGCTTATCTTTCACAAAAGAAAATTCAACTGGATTAACAAATTAGTTGTTTAGACATTACAGTTCCAGCACTTAAAAAGCAATGTACAGTCATGTTTATACCCAGAATTCCAAAAGAATGGGCTAGCCAGAAAGCACAAGAACAGCTGGTGGTGAAATAACCTAATTGGGAGAGACAGAATTACAGGATTAGACTAGTAGGCTCGTGGTAAGAAAAACGCTGGTGGTATCTTGACTGGATGTCCCTATTTATGCTGCTCTGGTTTGGCACAATGCGTACAGCAAGGGAAACAAATAAGTAGTAACACAGGAAAGTTATGTTCTTATGCCAAAAATATGCAGAAAAATGTCACACCATGCTAATCCCTGACCAAGTTGAAAAAATGAATCTCAAAAATTTAGTCTAGAAATAAGACCTCGAAAAAGTGACTTTAAAATTTAACATGTGGTGATCAACTTCAGGTCAGCCAAATCTAAAGTGTTTGTACTGACTGCCTGGTTTTACTTGCTCAACTCATCTAAGAAAGTTTGTAAACAAAATCAGTAGACTACATCCAGTCATTTTCATAACTCTATATTTCAACAAATCTATTAAAAGGTAAGGAACTGGTTTGATAACAGCACTGCTATAAAAAGGGAGAGGCCAGATACTCAAATTTCCTCATTTGTTGTGGGCTACCTAAACATTCAGATTAATATTTTTGCTTGAGTGTGAAATAGAGGTAACCCTTAGCATGACTGTTTAGCTGAAAATGGACATTTTGAAGTTAGTCAAAAAATTCTGTAAGACAATTCAAGTGGAAAACCAATATTTATGCCACACAAGGAGAGTGCCAATTGGTAGGTGTTGCCATGGAGAAGAATGCAACCATTAATACTGATTTAAAGATACAACAAAGCTGTAAATTTTAAATCAGTCAGATTAACTCTGATTGAACAAGGCATTGCCCTGAAAAATTAATAGCTGTCACCTACTTTGTGGAGTTGAAATAGGTACTGTGGGGTAACACGCTCTGACAAAGAACAGGGCTTTGTGTACTAACAGGTGCAACTTACATGAGGCACACAGATCCAGACTGAGGAATCTTAAATTTAAAAAAAGAAAAAAAAAAATTTGGTAGGAATTGGAACATGGAGACATTTTTGGAATTTTACTGCTTAGGAAAGGTCAGTGTAATGCCTTGCATATTCAGATTATCCAGCAATTGCAGAATCACATTTAGTGTTAGACTCTGTTGAGATATGAAGACATGCACTGTTTGGTTACAGTCAGTACCTTGCTTATTGCAAGGGACATGCTGCTTGAGATGATCAAGAATTTTTGGGCATATAGCCTACATACTTGGCATAAACAGCACTGAATTTCATGTACTACATTTCTACTTATCACAAGTACTTTGTTTGCTTCGACAGTAAAATCCAGTTCATGGCAAGCACCACTCAATGCAACTGTGTAGTAACTAGACAAAATAGCTAGCTTCACTTGTTGCTCAAACATTAAGAGAGGTACATGAAGGTAACTTTTCACTTTGTAAAAGATACTGACCTGAAGTGTTTCTGGTCATCTCTCCAAAGATGCTGTTTGACTTTGATTATTTCCATTGTTCTCTCCCTTTCCTCACACTTCAAAAATCAACTGACTTGTTGATACAGATCAACTTTATGTATTTTCTGCTCTAGTCACTGGGCATGCAGGACTAAATTCCAAGTTCTCCCAATGTCACTTCTTGTTTGCTATTCAATAGATGGTAATTATTTGTTGCTATATGCAACACTGGATTCAAGAATTTCCTTCCATAATTGTCTATTTATAGATTTTATCTATTACATTGGCTTCAAATGAAATCAACTTTTACCCCTCCCCAATACACCTGGTTTATTTGCAGGTTTGTTCAATTCACAAACAAAGTCTTGAAATCGATTTTTCAGGTGCAGTGGATCTGAAGTTTCATCTGCTCCATTTAGTAGGCATTGTTCCCAGAATTCTCAAATGCTCTTGATGTTTAGCAAACTTTCTTCTGTCAGAAGAACTCAACCGACAAGGACAATTCCCATCAGTTTTGCTCAAAAACAACTTCCTTAGCCAGTAACCCAAAATACTTTCTGAAAATCCAGGGACAATGCTTGGTTATAATCAAACATTTTTCTACCCTTAAATACAAACCAGATTGAGATTTGTCTCATAAGTCAAAGTTTACATCTGAACAGTGTTCTATGTCTACTCCTTTCTCAAGGCATAACGCTTGCAGATTTGGAGACAGAAAGGACTGCAGATGCTGGAAGCCAGAGTCAATAGACATGAAGCTGGAAAAGCACAGGTCAGACAGCATTCGAGGATCAAGAAAGTCAATGGTTTGGGCAGAAACCCTTGTCACCCAAAACGTTGACTTTCCCGATCCTTGGATGCTGTCCGACTTGCTGTGCTTTTCCAGCTTCATATCTATTGACTGTTACTTGCAGAGTTACTGAATATAAAGCACAACTAAAACACCAAGATGTTGAACAAAGCAAAATTGAGTTTTAATTCCTAAGAATCCAAAATTAAGACCATTTCAACTGCTATATTTATTGTGGTTATCCAGAAAAGTCAAGTGCCCACAATGGTCAGATGTGCAAAATTCTATGCTTATTTGCTCTAGAAGACTGACCCAAATTCCCAAATGAGATCAAACACTAATTAAGTAACAATGAATGTCATACTAGTGTTACCCAAGATAATCCTATCTGAAAAGCAAGAAAATGCAACATGGCTAATAGTTAGTTTTTCTCCATTAGTTGATAGAATCTTTGCTTGGCCTGTCCTGGGATCCTAGTGTTGTCCCAATCAAACTTATCCATGTGGATGGAGATTAGCAGAGACAAGCACAGGAATTCCTAGAGGCCTGGTTCTCCACTAAGGCCATTAAACACAGAGCTAGACCCTATATATACACACTCCACTGCGAAGGAAAACCAGAATGAGGTAACCCAGCTCAACAGGCAGAGTTTAAACAACAGGCAGGAAAACACAATAGTGCTTCAGAGGCTGCACGGATGTTGCCCAGCAGGGTAATGAAGTGTCTGGAACAATAAAGCCAGCTCGGCAAGCCAACCAGCCACAACCAGAGCTACAAATCTACTCAAAAATCTTAGTTACTTTGAGTATCTCTAGCCAGTGTTACCTAGATGACCCCCAGAAAGTTTCAGAAATCAAGTGTAATTTCTGGAAAATTTTCAGGAACTCAAACTCCATTGTACTCCTCTATTTAAAACAGGATTTTCTTTTTTGAAAGTGTCAAGACTGAAATACGAGTTTTAGTTTGACAAGGTAAATAATCTGTTTAAATAATCTTTTAAAAACAAACAAAAAAATTGGTAGACAGCTGAAAAATTACATATGCAAGTTGGCTGTATAAGTGGTCATGCTTCCAAAATTGAGTGGTCAAGTCCTTTTGAGACAAGATATGAAAATCATAAAATTTTAAAAACAAAGTTCAAGATAAAGACAAGCATACACACGTCAGTGTACTTGTAGTCAGCTTATAAATGTGTTGAGTTCAGTTCAGCCACTGAACGCAACATAAACATCCTAAGGTTAAAAAAGGAGATAGGTTTTTTCCTCAGTATATTTATGCTACTTTTGTCATATTATTGAACCCATTTACTATTTACTTACCTCTGGTCTCACAGGATCTTCAATACCAACTACAGCAATACAGGTGAGATCAGAAAGTACATCATTTTCATTATCCCAATCCACATCAGAGTCAACTTCAAATTCTCTGAAGGCCAAGCAGATGGTACGCAGTCCCTCAGAAGCCATTGGTTCTATTACTTTCTTTATCAAATCATCACGATCTCTAATCTTCAAATCTTTGGTCTCACCCTTTGCATTTAAGATTTTGGAACACCTGGTGAAAGGAGTTATATTTTAAAAGCTTTTAAAATCTTAGAACTAGAACCAACTGGAGAAGAACAGGATCCAGTTAATTTGTGTATTAAAACTGAGTCATTAAAAACTTCTATACTGAAAATCTTACAACACAGCATACAAATGGCATCTTTGATATTAGGACTCAAACAGATCTGTCCTCAAAATTAGTGGATACACAAAAAATGTACCAGAATACCTACAAATAATTTTTTGGTCTGTAGAATTGATTGGGAATAAAATCTTCACTTCCAGTAATTTTTTAAAATCTCCATCTTCCTATGGGCATTGCCTATTTCCCACGTGGTTAAAATTCATCTCCTTCCCTTCCAGCCCCTTCAAAGTCTCTACTCATCAGTCGTGGCTAAAATATTTCTTCCTGAGTGCAATGTCTAATTGCAGCAAGATGGCATATAGTAGTCTGGATCAGCGTGGAAAAGAACATGAGCTGATGAGGCAGTTAGAGCTGCAGGCAGTCACAAAGTAAGGTAGGGGAACAATTAGTAGAGACTGTGGCATGCAAGAAAAAACAAGAATTTGGGAGCTTTAGGGATCTAGTTCTGTGGATATCTGGCATCAAGACGATCAGATGTGAATAAAATGTACACGGTCCGAGTATGGTATTGGCTGGATATCAAAATTTCTGCAAGATTTAATCCAAAGGAGACAGTGTTTTGGTGGCAGCAGTCACACTGGGAGCCATGGTGACCGCTACAACTGCTCATCCCTGTTCATCATGAACCCAGGAACATGCTAGTATATTGCAAGGAGCTCCAATACTTAGGGGATGCAAATTAGGAATGGCTAATGTTTTGATGACTTTCTTAAATTTGCTATATCTTGGCATCTTCAAAGTGTTTTCTTTGAAGCTCCAGAGAGCAAACCAAAAATTTAACATATTTTGCAGAGCAAGTGCTTTACTCCAGAACTATTGCCATTTCAGTTCATAGAACATTTGCAAGGTAACATCTAGTGAATCTATTTCGGTGGTAATTAATCAGTAAATGAATTTGAAATTTTCAGGGTGGGGAAATTAAAGACTTCATAAGAATTCTGAGGCAGTTAAGAGCAGAAAATGGTAAATAAGTGAGGTGAACATAGTCAAAGTAATACATAAAATAGAATTGTTTCATTGCGCAAATTTAGAAATGACTGCCCACGGATATGTTACATGCAAGTTAAAAATCTGAATTACTTGTAAAGTTATTAGTTCTCAGATCATGTGCGCATATCTTGTTATGCATGGTACCAAATATGGAAATGATGAGTAGTAGCTCTCACCACAAATATCATGCTCAGTTTAAGTTTCATATTCAATGTGTACAGTACTGAAAAAAGGTCCAAGTAACCCTGTTTAAATAAAAACCTTAGCTTCCTTTTGAGGCTTTCATTTATTCTCAAACAAAACAAGTTCAAGTTAGCTTTCCAGGCTTAAACGTTAGCGGCAACCTTCCTTCCCAAGTCTAGTGGAAGCCCTGACAAAGGCCAAATTACCAGTTGGAAGGTCAGTTTAATGTTCCCTTTGGATCATTGATCAGATCCCTATTAAGTCCCCTACAAAAAGCCACTACATGATAATCACATAAATTAAACTTACTTTTTAAGAACAATCTCAGAGGCACCCTTACTGAACATTTGAAAACTACCATCAGGGTTCTTCAGAACCGTGCTCATGGATTTTCGTGCAGAGTTGAAGGTATAAACCTTGAATAGTTTCTCTTCTGGAATTTCATTCCGTATTGCCTGGTAGTCTCTCTTCAAAGCCATGACAAATCCCAGCAAGGCACATTCCGTCTTATTGCCAACATGACGTGGCAAGCCACCTTCTTTCTCAGGAGGCTATAAAATTAGATCAGTAAAATTTAATATACTAAATCTTGCAGAATTTGATCCAAATCAGATTGAACTTAAAAGATCATCTTTTATCAAAGTATACAGCTATTACATACTGCAACAGAAACAAATCCTATTAAAAACAGGATTAAAGGCCATCAGCAAAGTGTTTTTTGAATTACCGGCAAGCTATTCAAGAACAGTCTCCGATTAGGGCATTTGAATTCAGTTGAATTACTTCCTTGTAATGTACTCAAATAATACCCTCTTTGGTTCCAACTGTGATACAGTTTAAAACCCAAAATACAGAAACCTCAGTTCTAACAATATACTGCATGCCCCTTATGCAAGAATCTTGAATCATTATCACTGAATATTTAAAAGACTCCCAACATACCAGTATCTTTGTAGTGTATGCAGAGTTTACAGCTACCCCAGCAACAAGTTTGTCCATAATATTCTCAGGAAAAGACTCTGGATCCGGAATCATCTTGTAGTGCCGGTCTGCTACATATGCTTGAACAACAGTCATTCTGTTCATTGTGAGGGTACCAGTTTTGTCCGAACAGATAGCTGTTGCATTCCCCATTGTTTCGCAGGCATCCAAATGTCTGACCAAGTTATTATCTTTCATCATTTTCTGTATTTGGAAGGATGTGATCATTAGCATCCAGTTCAAGAATGTGTATCCAGAGTGCTAGCTTTTGACAGAACAATTTTAAAAGGGAAACCATTTACATTAGTTGTGACTGTACTGGGATTCACATTTTTTTGCCATTCACCAGTGGTTAAAGAAAACTGAAACTCATTAATAACATGCAGTCAATTCTAAGACCACGCAAAACAGATGGTTCTGAAGCACAAGATGCAGTTAGGTTTGAACTGCAGGAAGGGTAGCCATTTTGGAATGCACAAAACCCACGCGTCAGTGATGATTGTATTGTTTGTGGAACCCCAGAAGCAGCTAGGGAAAGCACACTACAGAAGTAGAAACTTCAATTTTTCAAAATCAGGCTGTGCCCACAGAAAGGTGGAGAGAAAGATTAGATCACAACGCAATGACTCCCTACAAGAAGCAGATGCATTTTGAAAAGTTTAGAATAGAAGTTGAGTTTAGCTGTCTCATACTGTTGGTCATCTAGTCAGTTATTCCTGATATAAAGTCACAAGACTTACATTAATGTTACTCAAAAAGTAGCTGCTGCATATGGAATAGACACATTAAATCAAAGCTTTAAACTCAGGTAAAGTGAGGAAGAGCTTACATTAAGCAAAACAAACAGGCTAATAGCCACAATTTCAGTTATATTTATGTAATGGCTTACCTTCACAGAATAAGCCAAAGATATTGTGACTGCAAGCGGGAGACCCTCTGGTACTGCCACAACCAAGACAGTAACACCAACGATGAAAAATTTAACAAAATACTGAATGTAAATTGGAGTACACTCAGTTAACCAAGGACGTTGCTGGACCCAGAACGTATCAATCACAAAATACAGAACAAGAATGATAACTGTAACAGCAGACATCACCAATCCTATGGAAGAAAAGCAGATCAACAGTATTATAACAAGTCAGAGACACAATGGAATGTGAAATGCTGCCATACACTGCTTCATTCAAGAAGCTATAAAAGCCACTGTCTAAGAGCGGTCACAGGTACAGGACAGAATAGCTCAACCCTATTTGTTTGACTTATGAATGAGCATATCAACAAGCTATAATTTAAAGTATTCCAAAGTTACTAGTTAAATATTTTGATAAAGAGGCATAGTTTGAACAAGTTTAAAAGCAACAAGTTTTCAAATGTCTCAAGCAGTAATGCTGAATAGATCCTCAGTTGGATTCGTGCACTTCAAAATTCTCTAGTTTTAGGAAAGTAAGTAAAACATTCACGGCTCTAAGCAAGCTGATCAATCCATGTTAGTTATGAAGTAGGAATTGTGTAGGGTTGTATGCCAACACTGCTAGGTGTTTGGGGTGGGCCAGGATGGTGCTGACTGTGTCGTCAGTCTCTTAAGTATCAAGTAAATCTAGAGAATTATGAAGCTTACCATAGTCTTGGCAGCCTTTCAAATGGTTACATGCTGGTTAATGTGCGCAGAGTTAGTACCCAAGCCTACATAAAACTATTTTGTTGTTCAGAGGTGATTTTTATTACACTTTTTTACAACCTCAGTTTGGTTAAATGGAATTCAATTCAGATTAATTTGTTTATACTGATCTACAATCAACTGAATTTGAAATTACTTTCACAAAATTCAGTTATGTTCCCAGTGGACTAAAACTAACTTTTCTAATGCGTTTGTGTAGGGATATAGCTTACAGATATCAAATCAATATCATGCAGCAAGAAATGAAGCATCACATCCATATAATTCTACAAAGAAAAATAATTTCAGGATTACGAGGCCAAGTTATTGAATGTCTTTTAAGACGGATAGGTTCTTGATTAGTGAGTCTTAGATTACAGGGAGATGACATGGGGTTGACAAACATCAGCCGTGATCAAATGGCCTAATTCTGCTCCTACATCTTATGGTCTCGTGAAAGTGAAAAACATTCATACCTGCTTTACCAATTTGAACTGCCAATTTTGTGAGCTTCCCTTGGAGCACAGACTTCTCTTTCTTAGGCACGTTTGTTTTCTTTTTCTCAGAAGCATCCTCAGCCGCCTCATCACTTTTCAATGGCTGCATTTCCATAGCCGCTCCATCTTGAGCTTTAGCTGGGGATTAAAGAGCGTAAAATTGTCATTGATCTTTTTAAAAGGAGTCAGATCCCCTAGTTGAAGGAGGTCTGGAGTTCTAGTGGCTAGCCATGAAAAGTTATTTTGTTGATTAAGGAGGATACAATGATCTTAGACAAAAGGCAGAGGTGGTTTGCCAAGAATAAAGGAATACAGTCAAACGTTTGACATTAGAATTTTTCTCTTTCGATTGGAAAGGCTGGTGGTGGCCCAAGATGACAGATTTTGATGGTAGGGTTTAGAAAAATTATTCCCTTGGGCAAGTGAGTCAATTGTTGGCTAGATTTAAAATAATTAGTATAAGATATAGGTGAGGGAAACTCAACTTTTTAACCCCTACCAAGTCTCAAAGATAAATGTTTAGATTTAAAAGACATCAAGGGGGTGTGGGGTAGAAAGCAGGAATATGGCATTGAGATAAAGGTTCAGCTACGAACCTATCGAATCGTGGAACAGACTCAAGTGGCCTACTGCGGCTCTTAATTTCTGTTGTCAACTATGGAATACACTACCCAAACAGATGGCTAAAGCTGACTCAATTTTTTTAATACTCAAGTATTATGGAACAGAGTCCAGGGGAAGACCACTACCCGTTTCAAGTACTAGCATAAACATTGGGCTGAATGACCCCCATTAGATGAATTAAGTTACTATAACTCATGCTGCAGTTATATGACTAAATAACAAACTTAAATCCACAACTAAAATTTCAAGATTACCGTGACATGCTACATACTTATTGGTTGTATGCTCACAATGAAACATTTCTCCTGTAAAAATGGAACTTAAAAACACTCAGATACTGAATTATTTAGCCACTGTAGGTATTTTAAAGCGCAGTTTTAGATTTAAAAAAAAATTAAGAATTGAGGGCCTCAAGAATGTTAACAAACAAAGTTGTTACAAGGAATCAAGGCTGCTTAACAGTCTTACTAGGCATGATTACATGTAATTAACAATTTGAGATTAACCCAACCATAAAATTCATGGTCTCAATCTTACAGCTCAGAGGCTGTCATTCAGCCAAATGCATCCAAATGGTTTCTTTGAAAGAGCTATTTGATTACATGCACACATTGGAATCTACACAGTCTACTCAGTTGTAAATTCACCACTTTAATTGAATCTGGCAACCAATGCTAGTTACAGTTCTCTTAAGTGACAACTAAACTCTATTCAGAGGTTTCAGTGGTGTAGCTACTGAGGATCTGCAGCCACCTCAATCTGAGGCTAATGTCACAGTCATGATTTGGACCAAAGGATGGCCCATCAGGGAACATACTAGGCAAACTTGTCTTGGAGTAATCAAAAATAATGTTTGCTAAAGTAAATCTGCCACGTTAGGTAAAGTTTTTGAATCGTGTTCAAATGTTATAATTAAAATTGGAGGAATTAAAAGGACATTTTCCTAACACAGCAAAGCTTAGTTGTCCCTTTTCTTCACTTGGATCATTTACTCATCTTAAAAGCTAAAAAGCTAACTTCTAAAGTTAGTTAATAACTCTTTTCTAGGTACATTTTCTTAAAAAAAAGAAAAGGCCAAACAAACCGTACTATTGATCCTGCCAAGGCTGCATAAAACATTCGTTTACCTTTGTTGCGATTTTCTACAGCTCCATCTTGCTTTTTGTCTAAAAAAACCAAAGCAATTTATTAACTCAGTTTATACATTTCCAAACCATGAGCTATTTAATGATATAAGTGAGAATTGATAATCTGAATAAACTGAGCATTTGCCATCGACTCAAGTTACCAGGTTTCAAGTAGAGTTATGCTCTCATTTCAAAAGGATTCACATGTACAATTTGAGGCTGGAAAACAGGGAAAGTCTGTAGGCCACAACAGCAGTGGGAGCAGAATAAATCAGGAGATGAGGGCATGCAACAAAGGCAGTGCAATTAGTCATTATGATTAAAGTTAGTTTTAAGGGTGCTGCTACACAAACTATTAGTACTTAAAGTATTCAGACAACAGGTTTGAGGCACAGTGGTAATGCCCCTACCTCGGAGACAGAAGGCATCTCAACACCCCTGAACAAGTTGACTAAAATATCTACAATGGTTTGAACTGCCTTTTGCTATATTTAATTAAAATCATGCCAATGTGAAGTTAAACCCAAATTGAGAGTAATGAAGAATGAGCGTGAGCTTGAGTAGTGAGCTCATGATTTGTTCAGTGTTTTTATTGGTGTGCTCAAGATTTGAGATTTTGCACTTGTGATGCTCCACCTAAAAATGCCATTGGTCACAAAAACAAAGTCTGAAAAATAAAAAGGTCCACCCATTTAAATTAGAGAAAAGAACTCTTCAGGGCTGAGTAACTTTAGAAGTTAGTTCCTTGAAAGACAGTGAAAGGAGTGTCTTGGAAGATCAAGGGTGATAGATTCCAGATGAGCAATGGGTAAAAAGGTTATGGGAGTAGTGGAACATGGAGTAGTCAGATCAGCCATGATTTTATTGAATCTATTGCAGAGTAGGCTCAAGGGGGATCAGTGGCCTACTTCTGATCTTAATTCATGTTTGTTTTATTGGCGAACGAAAAGATACCCAGTCAGCAACTATCAGCAGCATGCAACTTACAAAAGGAGAAAAACACCTGATAGACTAGCTCTAGATCCACTCAAAAGCATCACAAAAATGTCTCCTGATGCAAAGGTTTAGGATAGCCAGTAGAAAGCAGTAGGTCCTACTGCAAAATAATATTTTTTTTTAAAAATTCATTTTGTCTGTGGATTGAATTGTGAAAAGGACTGGTTTTGCAAAGAACTAGGGAGGAATTTAGTAAGCTTACTAAAACTTGTGACATTCTCTGTTGAGGGTCCAGACTAGAAACATCAGCTTTCCTGCTGTGTTCATCCAGCTCTACACTTTGTTATCTCACATTTACTGTTGTTTTGCAAATGTGGAGAGATGGTGTAAAGAGACAACATTGCACCAGGGTTCAAAGTGAGATTCAGATGCCAACATGCTGTTGATTGATTTGTGGAATTGCAGCCAGTCGTGGACCCAAAAAAGGTTATCAGCCAGACAACAGCTGATTGTTCAGTTACTCAGAACCACCTTTTGGGTGAAAAATGATAGTGAGAAGCCCTCAGACCTCAGGGGTGGTGGTTTCTCTCTACAGAAAAATATCTGAAGTTAAGTGAAGCTGGCTGTTTCCTTTCTGCAATTGTTGTAAGTTGCTGCTTTTAACCAGACATCAGCCTGTTTGTGCCACTTCAACAGAACATCTGAAATTTCACTATTAGTCCTGCCATCCAAAACAGCAGCTTGAGAATTCTGAATTTAATGTTTCACTGGCCTACATTTATAGCCATGCACATGGGTATTGTGTAGCCCAAAAATCAATTCCTCAGATTTCTAGAGTTTGTTGCTGATATTCTTCAAAGTAACTCAGCAAATTAAAAGTGCCCTGCAAATCGGAGTACAATATCCAAATTTTTGACTTGGCTGCAGCCTCCTGTCAGCAAGACTAGCAACCACTGACAGAAAATACCAAGCACGTTAAGTACTTTCCATTAAGTACTATGAGGAGTGACCATCTAGATAGACTTTTAATGCGAAAGTACATGATGCCTAGTTATGTGCTTGGTAAAGCAATGAATTTGCACAAATTCAGCAACTGATTCAATACTTCCTTTTGAAAAAGGATTCAATAATCAGCCCAGAAAGAAAACAATTGTCACCATTAATGCTTGTCATATGAACAAGTTCCCAGTGGGTACAGATTTGGACCATTAAAAAAAGAAAGCATTGACCTTGAACATTTAACAGACCCCGCTGGAGATGGTGGAAACATGAGATAATCCTTTGAACATGGAGACTGGTGGCAGAAGTGTGGATAAGGGGAATAGTATTATTGTTCTGGGAAAAAGGGTTGACAGCCAAAGAGCAGGAGTTGGGTCAGACAGGCAAGGACCCTGTCAACTGCTTTTGTGGTGTTCTTTTGGGGCAGGAGAGGGAGAGAGAGAGAAAGAAAATTAAATTAAGGCATACCATTTTTCTTATGGCAAGCAATCTACCATATATTTTCCGGTCTTTGAGCTGATTTGGCTACATCCCAAGGGCAAGTCTAATGTTGCATCATCCTCTAGCTTTCCCATCACCTCCAATGTCAGCACGCCACAAGGACCATTCCCTCAGACACCCTGGTTCACTCCTCTTAGTCTCAACACTTTCTCACTCCCCCACTATGGCATCTCTCCATGCAATTGCAGAAGGTACAACACTTGCTCATTCATCATCTCTCTCTTCAATGTCCAAGGCCCCAAAATGCCTTCTAGGTGAAAAGCGGTTTTACTTGTACTTCTTCCAGTAGTCTGTTTCTGCTGCTCACAATGCAATCTTCTTCACATTGGCAAGGCCAAATGTAGTCTAGGTGACTGATTTGCAGAACCCCACCACTATCTGTAGGAATGACTTCAACTTTGCAGATGCTTGCCATTTCAAAGAAGCCACTTTGCTCCCTTGCTAACATTTCCATTCTGGCCTGCTACTATTCAAAGCTCGGCACAATCTGGGGAAACAGCAGCATTTCACAGACTCAAGGACTCAGTGCCACAACTTCAGAGCATGAGATATCCTCTATTTTCATTACATTCCTCCATCCCCTCTGACTTTGTTCTCAAAGTGGGCCATTTTCTCTTTTTCACACTTTTCACCCAGTTTACACTATTCTTCTTCACCATTAGCACAACCAACCATTTTGTCTTTTGATCTGGACACCCTTAAGTTGCTCCTCTCCACCATTGACAACATTAAAAAGCAAACTTTTTCCTGCCCCTTTCACCTGTGAAGACAAACTATGTTCACAACACTGATGGTGCCAGACCTGGTGAACTTCTCCACTTGTTCCGAAGCAGCATGAGATCTAAGGGGACTTGATGGGACTGATGTTGAGTGGCAATGACAGGAGTCCAAAACGTCGTATCTACAAGATGCACTGCAGAAATTCACCAAGGCTCCTGAGACAGCATCTTCAAAACCCACAACCACTTTCGTCTAGAAGGAGGACAAGGGCAGCAGGTACATGGGACCACTACTACCTGCAAGTTCTCCAAGCCACTCATCATCTGGACTTGAAAATATCATTCCTTCAGTCGCTGGGTCAAAATTCTGGAATTCCCCAAGGGCATTGTTGATCAACCCAAAGTATGTTGAATGAAACAGTTCAACGAGGCAACTCACCACCACTGTCAAGGTGAACTAGGAATAAATGCTGGCTAGCCAGTGACACTCTTGTGCCAAGTGAATACCAAAAACGGTATTCATGTAGGACAGATGAGAAATCTTTCTGGAAGTCATTAGAATGTGGAATTCTGTCAGAAGGTGGTGGAGGAGTCAGTTGATAGATTAGGGAGCCCAAGGTTTTTTTTTGGCGGGGGGCGGGGGGGGGGGGGGGAAGGGAAGGGGACTGAAAGGGAAGGAGGAAAACCAAAATCAGCCATGAGTTTACTGATTTGTGGAACAGATTGAAAAACCCAAAACCAAAAATGTTCCAATATGCTTGCAAGAAGTTATGTGGACTAACATACAGAAAAGATATCCTATCCCTCAGCACCATGTGGTCCTGCTGGAAACATTTTGCCTCGGTAGGTTGTGGAGTTCAAACATTATAAAACTCAATCTTAATTTAGGCCATCACTTTTGTGCAGTACTTTAGTGCTGCATCGGGAGAATCATCTTTCATATGAGGATGGTGCTACTTATGCACAAGTTGATCAAAAAAGGTCTTGTGGTATTTTTCCAATAGACAGCAGTATAGTCAACACAAGCAATAGCTTAACTGGTCAGTAAAATGCCAGTTGAAAAATGCTGCCCATACAGAATAGTTATATCACTTGCAATATTTTGGTATTAATAGTATATGAATGCATATTACACAGACATTTGCAGTTAAAAATGGTTCCAACAAGGTGCTTTGTCTAGACAAATCTAAAGGATACATTCCTTATTGTCCAGCATACTGTTAATAATCTAATGGCAGTTAAAGGGGTAGATCAGGAAAGGAGATGGAACAAGTGGTATTTTTCCAAATTCAATCACAAATGATTCTGCAATGTGTTAAAGGAAGGAAGTCTCAGCTGGATTTGCAATTAAGACTTGCATTTGTATAGTACCTTTCATGACTCCAGGATGTGGATCTCAGTGGTCTAAGGACTTTTGAAATCTGGTAACTTAGTTCTTTAAAAACCTTGCAGTCAATTTACAATTGCAAGTGCCCATAAACATGAGACAGCGACCAGTTCTAAATTGGTTGAATGAAGTACATTAGTTGGTAACGTCAGGCAAACACAAATTGGCAAAAACTGCATACAAAATTTAAGTCCAACAAATATACTCCTGGGATCTTTTCCCCCAGCAATCAAGTATCCTAAATAAGACCATGTGCTTTCACAAATGTTCCAGGGTCCCTTAGTAGCTTGGTTATAAATCAGTGCAGACCTCAACACTGCGAAGGCTATTCAACGTACCCTTGACCATCACAGCAAATTGCCATTAAGCTTTTTTCCCCCAAAAAAGGTCACTGGCAAACAGAACACTTGGCCAGTTTATTTAGACCAGCTGACCAAGAATAGTGCAATTACATGACTTTACTCCTGATATCTGGAGGACAGCCAAAATGTAGAATTACTTTTGAATCTGGTTAAATGTTGGATACTCCAAGATTAAAAGCAGAACTCCAGCACTTAAACAAATGGAAGGCAAGTTGTAATAAGGAAGCATTTTTCCACAATCCATAACCTCAGCTTAATATCCAGCTCAAGATTATACTGTAAAGAATGAGACTGAATTCTTGTACTTGTATCATAGTTATGTTTCAAAAGCTCCTAAGTTAACTATTTCTACACCGTGTCAAACTGTTGCCTCAAATTGAGGTTAAAGAACAATGCAATCATACTTACTTTTTTTCTCCTCCTCTTCTCCAGATCCAAGCAAGGTGAAAATGATTCCAGTTTGAGAGTTTACACCAACAGCTGTGACTATCATTCTTCCAGAACCTTCCATAACATGGGTACCTGAAAAGTAAATTCAAGTTAGAGCTGGCCATTACTGCAAAGTGTTTATAATTGTTGTTTCATTATTGCATACTGTTAATTTAGGGGTCCATGCCCATTAAACCCAAGGCTGGAGAAACCAATGGTTTCTAAACAATGCAGGATGTAGTTGCTGAGACTGAATAATTCCAAATCAGTTTCACAACTGAGTAAATTTACTGTGTTAAAAAGGTAAAGTTTATATACTAGCAATCTAAGCTATATTTAAAGAACAGAATTATCAATGAACTTTTAGTTCAAGTGTAGATACATTTTACACAGCAGCTAGAATGTTGGACTATGTTACTATAGGTTTCCTACACCTATAGAGATTTGCAGATGGAAGAGACATTAGAATGCACTGGTCAGAGCCAACTTCAAACAGAATACAGAACATTAACACAAGTAAAGGTAAACAGGATGAGTTACAAGGTGAAACATTTAATTTCTAGAAGATTAAGGCATGACCTCTAAAGCAAAAGCAAAATAAACAAAGACACTTAATTCAAATTGATAGTTCAGTGGGAAGATACATTTTATGAAGAGGACAAGAACAAACAAGTTTTTTGATCACAATGGGGTGATGAATGTTTGGAATTATCACTAGTTCTTGGAGAATGTTTCATTGCAACTATATGCAACTGAATGCTAGGCAGGGAAGGGAAAGAAGCTCAGTTACAGAATCACACAACATGGAAACAGACCCTTCAATCCAACAAGTCCATGCTGAACATAATCTCACCTGCCCGCTCCTGGCCCATATCCCTTCAAACCTTTTGTCATCATGTACCTATCCAAATGTCTTTTAAACACTAATTGTGCTCACATCCACCACTTCCTCAGGAAGTTCCTTTCACATGAACCACTGTATAAAAAACTGCCCCTCCTGTCCTATTAAAATCTCTCTCTCAACCTAAAAGTGCTCCCGCTGGTCTTGAAATCCCCCACCCTAGGGGGACAGACACCTATCATTAACTGTATCGATACCCGTGAGTTTATGAATTTCTTTAAAAGGTGACCTCTCAAACTCCTATGCAGGGATCAGGACTAACAGCACGCTCAGTTAAAAAGAAGTCACATGTCTGTATTGTGAAAAAGGGGAAATCAGACTGGGAGGGTTTGAGGTTCAATGGATAGGTTTAAAAAAAATTGTGGCAGCGGACACAATAAGCGATAGCTTGTTTCTAATTATCCCAGAAACATGTTAAATGGTCATGAATAGATGTGTGGAAGTGTCACTGAATGCTATTACAGAATCAGTTATTATCCAGTGACAAAAAGAGTAATGTATTTCCAAGTCAGGGCGTTGTAACAATGTGGAGAACTAGCAGGAGGCAGTTTCCCCGGAACTGCTATTCTTGTCCTTCAAGGAAAGAGTTCACAAGTTTGAATGGGCCAAAGAAACCCAGGCAAGGTGCACTGCAGCTCAAATGATGGAATACAGCAATCATGGTGTACTTGTTTTGGAGTGTTAAACAACTGAGTTGCACTGAGCTGGATGGTGTGAAGCTTTGTTTATTGCTGTAGCCTAGGCAAGCAGTATATTACACTCCTGACCTAAGCTTTGTCAACAATGGAAAGAGTCAAGTCAGTTGGAGAGTCACCTGTTATGGAATGGAATCCCAAATTGTTGCAGCCATTGACTAAATGTAATTCCCAATATCTATCTGGGGTTGTTCAATGAGGGATACCAATGAATGGTGTAATGTAGGGTGAAAGATTTATATTTTATCATTTACTTTTAAGTTTGGATTTTCAATGTGACTGAAGGGTTAAATGATTAATTCACCAGTATTTCTATAGCCATGATGATCCTTAAAATACTTCACAGGCAGCTTGTAGAACTAGAGGTTGCGTTTACATTTGGAGTTTAAATAGCATGAAGGGCATGCAGCAAGTTTTAGCAATTTGAACTTAGCAAAAACACCCATAGGTGGAAAAGTTTTAGATGGGGCAAATTTACAGAAGTCTTCAATGAAGCCGGATAGAGGGGATAAAAATACCTTGGTCAGCAGTTTAATAATAATTCCATGTGTTTGGAATAACATCCTGAAGAGGTTATTTGAAGCCAGAGAACATTTAAGTATAAACAAGTTCCAAGAGGAAGCTTGGATTTTCTGGACTGGAGTGAAAGCCACAGTTAAATTAAGCAAATGCAGGTGCTAGAGAAAGCATTTTTCCTCTGGTATAGGATTTTTACAGGAACACTGAAATCTTTAATGTTGTGTTATATTAACTAGAATAAATCAGACTAGCTACATATGTATTTCATTTACTAAACTTGCTTTCTATTAAAAACCATTCTGCAACATTTAAAAACAAGCCAGGAGACTACCTCGCCAAAACCAAAACCAACAAAATATGATCCATCAAGTCAGATCTCAGTTTGGAATCTGATTTGTTCAGTAATAGCAGCCAGGACCATAATGTCAAGGGAAGACAATTAAACATTGGAGATAGCTAAGTTTGGGGTCAGGATATCACTGGCGTCTCACTGTAGGCCCAAAATTGGAGCTTGGATTGCTTTACCCAAGGAGCTGTGAATGGAACTCCTTGGAATAGGCAAGCATCCCCACCTCAAACTGTACGATGGAAGACAGCTCATTGATGAAACAGGTGACTTGGATAAGATCAATGAACTCTTGCAATGCTCTTGGGTTCAACTTCTTAACAGCCGCTCTGCTTTGATAATACTTCATACCGGAAGGATTTCACTCATCCACAGACTCCAATTTTACTACCACTCAAATGCAGCCCTGACATCAAGGACAGTTACTCTCACCCCTCTCTAGAATTCAGTTCTCATCAAATACACAAAAAGAGCAAGGGTAGGCCATTTAGTCCTTTGAGCCAACTCAGTGATTGAGAGTGATCTACCGTAACACCAAATTTTTGGATCAAGTTGTAATGCGAAATTGTTTCTGGCAAGGCCCAAAATGAGCATTGAAGGTTGTAGGAAGAAAAAGAATAACTTCACCACACTGTTCAACTGCACATCTAGTGGAAAGAGCAAATTGGGAATCATCAACTTGTTTGTGGAGAACCAGCATGGACTCAACTGGTTGGATAATTACTGCAGAGGTTATCATTCTGAGATTGTATATGCAGGGATCAGGGCCTTGACACTAGCAGAAAATAGATTTATTTTCCAAACTGCTTTGAGATTGAAGTGTCCATTACTGATTAACTGCATAAAGGCCACTTGAATGCCACACAGTTGTTTGCCCTAGAACAATTAATTCACAAGAAATCTATGGATAGGTTGAGTAGCCAAGGTCTTTTTCTCAGTATAGGGGAGTCCAAAACTAGAGGGCATTGGTCAAAGGAGAGAGGGGAAGATTTAACAAGGACCTGAGGGGTAACGTTATCATGCAGAGTGTGTTACAAGTATGGAACAAGCGAGAGGTGAAGGCAGTGGGTACAATTACAACATTTAAAAAACATCTGGCTGGGTACATGGACAGAAAGGATTGAGAGCTATGGTTCAAAAACCGGCGGATGGGACTAGATCAGTTTAGGATATCTGGTCAGCACAGATGAGTTGTACCAAAGCGCCTAATGACTTATAGTCGACCTGTGACTAATCTGACTATTCTTTATGAGCATAATTTCAAAAAAAAAAAAAAAAAAAAAAAAAAAAAAAAAAACTTACTATGTTCTCTATTTCTTTCCAATTGGGAAAATCTGCATTCTTCTAGTTTGCCAGGTCTCCTTCAGTGTCAGTGACAATAAACTGTTAATCTACACTCACATAAGTAATTGGACAAAAAAGGGAGGAAATTCAAAAGATCTGAGACCATTAGGTCAGAACACCTTCTGTAACTTGGACCAAAATAGCCATATGGTCAGAGAAGCATCTTTGCTTCATCCTTTCACCAACCTTTAAACAACAAATGCCCTAATCTTGTGATCTTATCACACCATAAACAATTTCTTGAAATTAAGATGTTTCATATCCAGCAATCTTTACATTTACAAAAGATGATCATCCTCCACATCTGCATCAACTGCCTGACCTGCCCATAACACTTTAAAATTGGGTCATCCCTTATGGCTTCTTACTGTTGAAGCTAACTAGTCTGTAGTTACCTGGCTTATCCTTTTGGATTTGAGTGGAATGTTTATCGCCTTATAGTCCTTTGGAAAAAAATTCTGTTAAAATAATTTTGAAAAATTACTTTAAATCACTGAACTGCCTTTGTAGTATAGATCACTGGAGCCTAAGATGACCATATAAATACCTTTGCAAGGTATTCTTGATGGTTGATGTCATTAACACACCTTGCTCAGGTACTGGAGTCCTAAGTCCTATCTTGGCCGTGATCTATAGAAGCAAGCTATTTAATTAACGTTGCTTTTCTTAAATACAATACAAATTTCTTCATCCTCAGTGATCTTACAAGTTTTGACTACCAGCTTTATTTAAAAAAGGTAGGTTTTAGGAAAGACTTTGTTATTACTCTAGTACTGGTTCTTTGTATTTATCTCCAAAAATGAAAAAAGTCTTCAGCCTCGCCCTAATTCAACCAGTAGCATTCACTTCTTTCCTATGCTGTGGTTGAGGGATTCAATTCTGATGTGGGTTGCTGCAGAACTCCAACACTTCTGCAAGATTGAGGATTTCTGCAACAATTTGAAACAGAATTGGAGAAGCATGGAAGGGAAGGAACAAATGAAAGAATTGCTCCATGAGCTGAAGCAAAACAGTACTTTGATAGGTAGGAAGAAGAGTAAATAAACATACAACATTGAGATGAGGAATGCATTAAAAGCAGAAATTTGACAAAAACTTGTTCATTTATTGAAAAAACCAAAACACTTTACAGCTTTAAGCTCCATTGGCAAATGCAATACATACAATATCCACACAAAAAGCCCAGATATCTAAAATAGTCAGAAAATTCTGCAAGCTCCCAGTAGCTTATGCCAGCTGTCTTATCTAAATCTTTTTTGGATCAGTTAACTCACTTGGCAGGATAGCTGGCTTTCAATGCAGCATTATGTCAACAGCATGGGTTCAGTTCCTGCACTGGCCAGAGTTACCATGAAGGCCTCTCCTTCTCAACCTCTTCCCTCACTTGAGGCAAGGTGACCCTTGGGTTTACAACACTACCAGTTGTCGCTTTAAATGAGAGCGTAGCCCGGAGATATAGTAAAACTACAGTTTTACCTTTTTGTACCATGCATTTCATGATGTTTTGTCTATGAACTTAAATTTGATAATGCTCCAATTTGTACTTCAGTAAACTATTTCATTCATCTAGTTGACAGATGTGGTTGAAATGGTTTTTCCATTCCAGGAGAAAGGAAAAGCCCCAAGGTACCAGTAAAACTGCAAGACTCTTGGCTGAGGTATCTGGGAACCTGAAAGTTTCCACACCTCAGTATTTTGACTACCTTGTAAAATTTGAATAGCTGAACTATAACCACTACCCAAAAACTTGGATACAAACCGATTTCCATCCAAACTGAAGTCTCATTTATAAGATTTTCCATCTGCCCACAGCTGTCATTAAATTTAATGCAAATCAACAAGAAATTGGTGCTCAGAAATTATGAAATTTTATTTTAAAAACTATCAGCAAGTAAGGGCAATTTCCTTTTCCTTTAGAATATCTGTGCAGATTCTTTATTGACTGGTGCTGTGTATATCTGCTTTTGGATAAAGAGGATATAGTTCTCATTCCAGATCATAGTTTAAGATTTTAAATTGCTTTGCCACTTTTAGGAATGTTTTGTTTTGCATTGAAAAAAGTTAAAGAAACCTAGTAAAAAATCTCAGTATGAAAAGGGAAAGTATTGATCATTTGGATGGATGAATGAATCCAAACATTTAAACAAATAGTGTGATTCATGGGGTTTGAGAGGCTTCAGTATGACTGCACTCCTCCACAGCTATAACATTTGGCTTTTTCTTAGTCTACCCCAAAGCGGTGGAGAACATAACATTTTAATCTCCAACAACTTTGGAAATAAGGCTAATATTAGAACTGTCATTTAGCCAGGCCAGCCCCTCTACTTTAAATCAATTTCACCACATTTATAAGCAGAGTTTTACACCCAAGTTTCTGCCTAAAACCACACTGTCACAGCTATGTGAATGTCTAGTTTTATTGCTCCTGCCCAACCTTCCAATCCATACAGGCAGTATCTTTCCACACAAAATGAGACTAATTGCCTGCATTCATTTGTTTTTTAATTCAGGAAGCAGTTTAGATGGATTTGGAATCAACTTCACATTTCAAACCGGAGAATAAAGTGCGTGGTCTACCATGCTTACTACAGTTGGTTCAGTATCTTTTATGCTGTATCATCTTACCAGACAAGAGTAGTGGATCTCTCTCTGGGCCTTTCTTCACATGATCTGACTCCCCAGTCAGGGAGCTTTCATCGATCTTCAGGTCATTACCATGAATAAGCACACCATCAGCAGGTAGGAGGTCACCTTAGAAACCAGAAAGTCACAAATTAAGATTGTTATAACCTGAACCATGCAGGTATGCTAGTTATATTAAGTAGATCCATTACTTTGGCCCAGCAACAAGAGAGACAATTTGGTTAACGCTGCTGCCTTACAGCACCAGGGATCAGAGTGTGAGTTCACCCTTGAGCGACTGTGTGGAGTTTGCACGTTCTCCCCGTGTCTGCATGGGTTTCCTCCCACAGTCCAAAGATGTGCAGGCTAGGTGGATTGGCCATACTAAATTGTGCAGTGTTCAGGGATGTGGAGATTAGGCGGGTTATGGAGGGAATGGGTCTGGGTGGGATGCATTGAGGGTCGGTGTGGACTTGATGAGCCGAAGGGCCTGTTTCCACACTGTAGGGATTCTATCCTAATTCAGTTGAGGGGAATTTGCAGATGATTATGTTTCCATTTATCCACTTCCCACATTATTCTAGGTGACGGAGGTGACAAGTTTGGAAGTTGCTGTCGAGGGAACCTTGGCAAAGTTCTGGTTTGCATTGTGTACTAGTGTGAATCATTACCAACAGTAGCAAGAGTCAAGGTTCAGGGTAGTTTTGAGTTAGAATATTGTTCAATCGCAAGTCATCTGACTAAGCATCCATCACACTGAATGCATTGTAGATGGTGGACAGGCTATTGAGATGCAGGGGAGGAGCAACTTACTGAACTTCCAGCCTCTGACTTGCTTTGTAGCCATTGTAACATGGTTTATCCAAGTTCCTCAACAGTAGCAATTTGCATTTATTAGTTAGTGGTGGGATTCAGTAATAGTCATGTAATTGAATGTATAATTGAGATTCTGATGGGAGATGGCCATTGCAAATACTTGCCACCATCAGCCAAAGCCTGAATGTCACTCAGGTCTTGCTGCATGTGGATTGGTACAAGGTAACAACAATAATTAACGCTCAGCACCAAATGTGATTTTAACTTCAGGCCTTAAGATGGAGGCAAGACCAGTGATGAAGCAGAAGCCGGCTGGGCCCTAGGACACAACCCAGAGGAAGTTTTGCACCAATGTCTGGGGAAGCCGATGAATGGCCTCCAATAACCATAACCATCTTGTTTTGTGCAAGACATGACTCCAACAGGAGAACTTTCCCAGAATCCTATCAACTTCAAATAAACAAGGGCTCTTTGATACCCAGTCAAAATGTCAAGGCTGCAACTCTTACTTCGCCTCAAATGAAGTTTTATCCATCTTTGGATGGAGACCAAAAGGAGTCTTGTCAGGACCTAGGTGTTCCTGGCAGAATCCAAACTGGGCACTGGTGAGCAAGTTATTGCTGAACAAGTGTCATTTTGCAGTACTGTCACAGCATTTTCACAGCTTTTGATGACTGCACAGGTGTTTAGAGGAATAAACAGCTAGATTGGATTTGTCCTGCTTTGCAGACAGGACAGAGCTGATCATTTTCCACTTACTGTAGATGGCAGTGTTGCAGCTATACTGGATGAGCGTGGCTAGGGGTGCAGAGTGCCCTGGAGTCCATACCTCAAGTACCAGCTCTGGGGTGTTGATAGGGCCCGAAGCTTCAAATGTATGGCTTTCAGCCATTTCATATTGTGCAGATTGAACCAAATTGCTCAAGACCTGGTATCTATGAAGATCCAGAATGCAGTGATGTCACTACGTTGCCACGACTGAAGATGCTCTGGATTCCTCCAGAGGATGGGAGGATTTGTTCAGCCTTCCCCTCGGCTTAGTTGTTTAATTGTCCATCGTCCCTCTCAACAGGGAGGTATACAGAGCTTTAATCTGTGTTGTGGGATCACTAGATCTATTGCTTGCTGCATGTGTGCTCTGCAGAAGTACCACTGCATTAAAATTTCACCAGGTTGGCATTTTTAAGTATGCCTTAACTATGCTCCTGGCACATTCATCTATACGCATGATCTCTTGCTTGATGCAAAAAAAGTGAGGGATATGCCAAACATCAAGGTTGAACAATTCTGATGGCTTACAGTGCCTCAGACACCCAGTTGAGCAGTCATCTGTTCTAAATTTAGCCCATTCAGCATGGAATTGCCACAGAGGGTATTCTCAATATGAAGAGGGTACTTTAATCGCCACAAGGACTGGGCAGTAGTCCCTCAAATACAGTCATGACTACAGCAAGCAGATTGGTGAGAATGAGGTCAAATATTGTGTTTGCTTGTTGGATCCCTCACCCCCAAATTGTGTTTATGTCCTCCAGGACTTGACCAGTAGTGCTGAGCCATTCCTCGTGGTAGACATTGAAGACCCCAACTCAGTACATTGTGCCCTTGCCACCCTTCATATTTCCTCCAGGCAGTGGTCAACATGGAGGAGTAATGATTTAACATGTGAAGAGGAGCAGTACCTGGTAAATCAGCAAAACGTTTCCTTGCCCATGTTTGACCAGATACTGTGAGACTTCATGGAGTCTAATATCATGTCAAGGTCTTGCAGCACAACTCCTGCCTGACTATTTACCACCTGTTGGGTCTGTCTGTCCTGCTGCTAGAGTGCAATGGTGGTGTTCAAGAGACAGTGTCAAGGTTGACAGATATTACAGACAAACAAGAGGGAGGATATTAAGCTAGAGGGTTCAGAAAAGATTTACCAGGATGTTGCTGGGAATGAGGGTTTGAGTTAAGATACTGGATGGGCTATGATCTTTTTCACTGGAGCATAGGAGATTGAGGTGACCTTAGGAGGTTTATAAAATCATGAAGGGTATAGTTCAAGGTGAATGGCAGGTGTCTTTTCCCTAAAGTGGGTGATTTCAAGACAAGGGAGATATTTTTAAACTGATAGAAGAAAGATTTAAAAGATAATAGGCAATTTGTTGTTTTTTTTAAAAAAAAAACAAAAAAAAAATGAGTTGTGTGGGGAATGAACTTCCAGAAGTGGTAGATACAGGTATAGTTAGTGTATGAGACATTTGGATAAGTACACAAATACATATGACGAATACAAATATTCTGGGATTATGGGCCAAACACAGGTAAACTGGACTAGGTTAGTTTGGGATTATGGTCAGCATGGAGCAGTTGGACCAAAGGGTCTGTTTTTCTGTGCTGCATGACTATGACAATGACTAAGTGTTGGCAAAAAATATTGCCATTAGGGTGGGTTAATAAACAATGATTTAAAATCATTCATTTTAAGAATAAATGGAAAATGAATCTTTAAGTATTCAGTGTTTACTTTTTAACCTCAAGCAGGCTCAAGATGCTGATTATAGCAGACAATTTTGTAAAAACATGACTGAAGCAGCACTGATGCAGAGACCTTATCTGGTGATGGAATCGTGTGACCCTGTACCACATGGAACACACTTAAGACAAAGCAGTGGGGTTTTGTCAAGGATGAGAATGAAGCACAGACTCTGGGAACAAGATGGGAAAAATGATGGATACATGATTGGTGCCTTTACCATTTGTGGAAATGCAAGGTGTTTGTCTAAACAACAGGCAGAATGGTGGCTCAGTAGTTAGCACTGTTGCCTCAGCACCAAGGAGCCAGGTTAGATTCCACCCTGAGGCAACTGCCTGTGGAGTGTACACACACATCTGTGTGGATTTCCTCCAGGTGCTCCAGTTTCATCCTGAGTTTGTTGATTACCAGCCCAGCAATTATACCACTATGCCATTGACACAAGGAAAAGGCAATGCTCAATTAGAAGCTAAATCCTAAATATATGCACACACGACAAATGCTAGGAAGAAACCTGGAGATCACATTGTCTGACCAGGTAAAATAAAAGTTAGCCTTCATGTGCATTTTATTTAACCACCAAGCCCACACATCACTCACTGCTCCCTCCCACTGCCATGACAGTAACATTTTATAAATTAAATTAAAGAATCTTTACTTTGAGCATTATGTCATTAAAATCTTCAGATTCCAGTTTGGTTTATAGAAAAAAATGTGAAAGTAGAAAATTACCATATTTAACTTGTGCAATGTCACCAACCACCAATTCTGCCACAGGAATCTGGATAACTTGGCCACCTCTTATCACCGTGAACTTCTGCTCTTGTTCAATTCGATTTTGCAGACCTCTAAATTGTTTTTCTTTACTCCAGTCGTTGAAAGCTGTAACTAGTACCACACATATAACTGAAACAAGAATTGCAACACCTTCGATCCAACCAGCTTCTGATTCACCTTCATCTTCAACGCTACCTGCTGCTGTACCACACACTGCAGAAACAAGAACAGGTTATGAAAAGAGGGCATAAAGAACCACACACTTATTAGCTCATGTTTTGATATTAATTGCAGAATGATTTCACAAGTACCATAAAAATCAGATTCAATCATTCCAATTGTATTATCACCCAAGTGATGATAACAGAAATACGGGGGACCGGGGTTGGGGGGTGGGTAAGGGAAGGATCACTCCAAGTATAAAAGGAGGTTAACACTAAGACAAATGATTGCGGTAGATCAGCTATAATCTAGCTAAAACAGTTGAGCAGGCTCCACAGCCGAAAGGCATACAACTGGCTCTTACTTCCAATGGCTTTTCTTGTTTAGAACAAAAAAGACAGGAAGTGGTCAATCACCATACTAATTTGTAAAAGTGACAAAGTACCCTCCCTCACAAAAGCTTGAATTCATAAAAATAAAAGCTCCTCATGAAGGCAAATGGATTGGAAATTGTCAAAATTTTGTTCCTTCTCTTAGGAGTTCAAGTTCTACTTCATGGTAGAAGCAACTTGATTTTGCTAATATTCTGCTGTGCCATTAGAGATTCCAGATTTATATAGTTGTCACTTTACAAGGAGTGGTGACTGGGTGTGCTAATATTACAGCAAGATGTACAGGCTCATGCTAAAGCCAAATATACATATCAGGAAGCAACTCAGTAAACAGTTAACTTTTAAGGTTGACAGCCTGTAAGGAGTTCTGTGAAGGGTCTGAGCAACAGGGAGAGGCTGAATAGGCTGGGGCTATTTTCCCTGGAGTGTCAGAGGCTCAGGGGTGACCTTTAGAGGTTTATAAGGTCACAAGGGGCATGGATAGGGGAAACAAAGTCTTTTCCTTGGGGTGGGGAGTCCAAAACTAGAGGGCATAGGCTAAAGAGAGGGGAGGATATTAAAAAAAAAGACATAACAGGCACCATTTTCATGCAGAGGGCAGTGTGCGTATGGAATAAGCTGCCGAAGAAGTGGTGGAGGCAGGTACAATTGCAACATGGATGGGTACATGAATAGGAAGGGTTTACAGGGATATGGGACTAGATTAATTCTGGTTCACTCATGTCATTAGGGAAGGAAACTGCCATCCTTACCTGGTCTGGCCTACATGCAACTTCTGACCCACACCAGTGTGGTTGACTCAACTGCCCTCTGGGAAGTTAGGGATGGGCAATAAATGCTGCCTAGCCAGCGACACCCTCATCCCGTGAATGAATAAAGAAAAGATTTTACTGTTTTGTTCTTAATTCAGATTTCCAGCATCTACGGTATTTCACATTAAAAATATTGTATTTAATTGCAGCTAACAAAAATCTTAAGGGTATGCGCATGGACCTACCAGTTCTCAACGTGTTAGGATATTTGCACTGCAGATGTTTGAAGCAATATTTCCCTTAAAGCAGACTTTTACATAATGGATGGCTCCCCAAGAATAAATATCTGCAAACTAGTGTACAAATTGCAAAGTTACAAAATCAGCAATGGAGCTCATATTTAGCCTTTGCAAGAGTACTTGCTGACTGATGGTTGATTTTTCCCCAAATCTAGGTCTGCAAATTCTGTATGTACAGTGGTTACATACATAATGCAGGAAGTGAAAGTGTCATCTTATAAAAAGAAGGGAGTGGTTTACTGATAACTGCCAATTATTTCAGAACAGTATTTTTCAGTCTAATTTAGCACAGAACAAGTTTACATATGAACATAAAATAGGAGAGGTAAGTCATTTGGCCCCTCAAATCTGCTCTGCCATTCAGCAATAGATCTATTTAGGTTTCAAATCCCACTGTCCAATTACCCTGGACTGAGATAGCACAAACTGCAGATGTTGGAATCTGAGGCAAAAGCAACACAGTGGAGCTGGAGGAACATAGCAGGTCATGCAGAGCAGGAAAGTTGACATTTTGGGTTTGGTTCGTCAGGCCTGCTTCAGGGAGGGGGAAGCTTGGAAATAAATAGGGGTCTGGTGATAGGTGGATGCAAGTAGAGGTAGTGGGGATTGGTCACTGAGAAGGGCAGGGCAGATAGATGGGGAAGAGGAGATGGACAAGTTTCGACATTTCAGGTTTACACCCTTCATCCCAAAGCTGCTCTGGAGATGTGCAAATATCCTCGATCTGTGGGATTCAAAATGAAATATAGTAAAAGAACATTTCTAGAAAAGCTGAACTTGGGCACTCAAAATTAAGTGCATTTTGTCTTAAGTCAAAAGGGGAAAATGTGTTGAGGGTTGTACAACCTTTGAAATTTTCTGCCTCAGAGGGTCATGAAATATTTTGAAGGTGGAGATAGCTTTTGGCTTCCTTGCTTAACAAGACCCTATCCAGGATAGGTCAGGTAGCATCAGAGGAGAAGAAAAGTTGATGTTTCAGGTTTACACTCATCAGGACTGGGGAGGGGGTAGGGAGCTCAAATGAATGGGGATGGTGGGGCTGGGGGAAGGCAAGTCGATGCAGGGTGGAGTTGGAGTTGGAGATTTGGTCACCGGGAACAGTGGGTCAATAGGTAGGAAAGAAGAGGAACAGGTTTTGACATTTTGGGTTTAAGGGTGCAACCGCAAAACCCCGTTTATTTCCAAGCTCCCTTCCCCCTCCCCAGTCCTGATGAAGGTTCTTTGGAGAGATAGTTTTTGGTTTCTTTAAGAAACTATCCAGGATAGGTCAGGCAGCATCAGAGGAACAGAAAAGTTGACATTTCAGGTTTACACCCTTCATCAGGGCTGGGGAGGGGGAAGGGAGCTTGGAAATAAATCCACTTACTTTCCTGCAGCCCCACCACCCCTATTCGTTTGAGCTCCCTCCTCCTCCTCCTCCCCAGTCCTGATGAGTGTAAACCTGAAACATCAACTTTTCTGTTCCTCTGATGCTGCCTGACCTATCCTGGATAGGTTCTTGTTAAAGCAAGGAAACCAAAAGCTATCTCCACCTTCAAAATATTTCATGACCCTCTGAGGCAGAAAATTTCAAAGGTTGCATAACCCTCAACACATTTCCCTTCATTTGTCTTCAAAAATGACACCTAAAATTTTAAGTGCCGCAGTTCAGCTTTTCTAGAAATTGTGCTTTTACCGTATTTTGTTTTGAATCCCACAAATTGAAATATTTGTGTAGGTATTCTGTCAGAGTAGCTATACTTAACAGTATTCACAACATTTCAAACTTAAAAAACTTGCCTTCATTGTCTCCTCCTGGAGGTTTATAGAAAGAAAGGCCTAGTGATATTATGGCTGCAATCTCTAAAATAATTAAGGTGACATCTTGAAGTGCTTCCCACACTAACTGAATAAATGTTTTTGCTTTTTTCGGGGGTATAAAGTTTTCTCCAAAAACGTGATGCCTTCTTTCGAGATCTGCTGGATTTCCAGATAAACCTGCAGAGACAAACCTTTCAGTCAGTTATTTTTAAATTAAAAGCTTCCAGTTAACAGGAGTCAAAAAAGGTGAATTCCTAACAATTGGAAAGCTAATTTCCAAAAGATGTTTTCTACACATGGTCAAAATTTGACCTTGTTAGTACAACCTGCATGCTTCTTAGCACCAGACAAGATTCTGTATGAACCCATTTCAATTTTGGTATGTGCACAGACTAACCTATTATTCTACCAGAATTTTAATGTTAAAAGTTGCAAACAAATAGCTAAAAAGGGAGTGATACAAACCAAAAAGGAATCGAAGCTCCCAAACATTTGATTTACTGTCAAAAGGTGACATAAATTTGGCATAAAAACAAGTGTGTATTAAGCCATGCTTGAAACAATCTAGAAACCCCAGTTTCAAATCCTCCTTACGAAAATCAGATTGGATGTTAATTGCATAACTTATTAGTCAGCATTGCATTCAAATAGTTAGAAACACACAAGTATTGCCCATCCCTCCCCATTTGCACAGT